ACCAAGTTCAAAAATAGATACCTCACAATTACCATCATACCTTACTTTTTTGCTTTGTCTTCTCTGTGGCAGATCAACACCCTTAACAGCATCAACACTAACTCATCTCCACTATCATCACTATCCAGATCTGAACTACCAATATATTTCTCGTCTCCCCCTTACTTTCCTGCATATTTGTTTGCTTTGTCCTTTCCATAATCTTCAAAGCCTCTATCAACACCAGCTTCTCACAGAGGTATATCTTCATTTACAACTGGTTTCTTCTTCTGTTTGTCAGCTTTGATTTCATGCCTTAACTTATCCCTCAATTTTTTGGTTCTCCTCTCTTGCCTGAAAAATCTCAGTTCTTCGTCTACATCAGAATCATTTTCTACTGGAATAGCATCCAACTCCGAGTCACTGTTGCTACTGTCTAGTTCATCTTCAAGACCTTCTAGATCAGACAAATCAGCTATACCAACCTGAACCTCTTCTGTAACATCAACTTTCCCCTTTGAGTCCACAACTACAACCTCATTAACATCTAACACATAGAGGTCCAATAGGTCACCATGTTCTAGAATCGACATGAGGAATAGAGAGAATAACGTGATGTTTCAGTGAAATCGAAACAAGAAGAAGTGAGATGAAGTTGAACGGAGGAAATTTTCAGTGAGCTTTTTTAGGGCACTAAGTCGGCTACGAGTTTTTCATTTTCTGAAAATGAGTTTCAATTTGTTTTGGGGTTAATTCTATAAGGTGGGATATTTTAAGGTGTTGGAGGCAAGTGTAATACACGTGTTTACTTTTTTAAAATTTTTTCTTGGATGTTTTACAAAGTGTCTAATTGGCATAAATGTGATTTAGTTGAAGGGCCTGATAGGAACAAGTCCATGTTTAAGTGTCCAAGTGACAAAAAAGGCCAAGTTTAAGGGCCCAGCTATGTATTCTGCCTTTTTTAAAATCAGTTATGTGATACTTGGTGCTTATTTGGTCCTTATGGGTGAGACACATGATATGATGATTTTCCACGCACTGAAGCATGTACCAGTTTATTAATGAAACAAAGGATGGTAACTTTGTAGCAGAATTTCTGAAATTCTATCCAGTTAACAGCTTTTCTTTCTTTGAATAGATTGGCTATGCATGAAGAGTCATCGAGTCGTCGCAAGGTTGACGATGATGTGCATGACGGTGCTATCCCTGCATATCTGATGGACCGTGAAACGACCACAAGAGCTAAGGTATGTTCAGTGCGATGCAACAGTGAACTTCTTGTCTTTTTACTCAAGTGGTGGTAACATGAACATAGACTGTTTATACTGGTTTTAAATGTTAAACCTTCTGTGTAGATTCTTAGCAACACAATAAAGCAAAAGCGGAAAGAGAAAGCTGGAAAATGGGAGGTGCCTCTGCCTAAGGTAAAGTCTTTACGTTACTCATCCTATACTGTCTCTGTACGGTTTTCACCCTTGTCCAGTGTGTTCCTGTGCAATTGAATGGTCCATCAATTCTGAAATAATGACATCTCTCTGTCTCTCTTTGTTTGACTGATCACAAATAGAGATACTTCTTACTTCAGTTTGCTCTCTTTTAACTGCACTTGTGATTTTTTCGTCCCTCATAGAATTCGTTTGGCTAGAGCAATGATTCTTATTTGTTTTCTTAGATATCTATACTGTTCTTCCACTGAAAATAGATGGCGCACAAAGGCTTATCATCTCCCATCGTATATGAGCAGCACTTTAATTCCTTTTGTGGGTAAATGTTCGTGATCTTTCGTTTACTTAATTTGCTTTCTAATAAGATACTTCACCTTATAGGTTAGGCCTGTGGCTGAGGATGAGATGTTCAGAGTGATAAGATCTGGCAAAAGGAAGAGTAAGTATTCTACAATCCTTATTTCGTTTTCTGTTGGTTAGCCTGTATTTACAGGTTTTTGGCCATGTCCAGGTTCTTGATTTCAGCTCCTCGCTCATGTCCTTTGTTGCTTTATTTGTTGTCTTTGGGATAAGTAAGAGTCGCTTTTTGACCATTTTGATTTGTGCTCATCTTTGCAGCAAAGCAGTGGAAGAGAATGGTTACAAAAGCCACCTTTGTCGGGGCAGGGTTTACCAGGAAACCTCCAAAGTATGAGCGGTTCATCCGCCCGTCAGGCTTACGGTTC